GTAGTCAAGTGCCTTAGGCACTGCGCCAAGGGCCATACAAAAGCAGGCAAGGGCAGGATTTGGCCTGAGGGCCGTAGTTTGCAGAGAACTACGGAGGCCTGTATGTGTGTGCTGCTGTTAGGCCTGAGGTGGGGCCTTCCGTTTGGGGGCACCGGCTCAGTGCCCAACTCCGTGGGCTCTGGGTCCACGTGAGTCCCGAGCACACACACCGTCCCAACTCTGTGGTCCGCCTTGTTTGGGGCCCTCTGTGAGGTCAGCACTTTTGTGGCGGGCCTGTGCTGCAGGGTGGCGTGCCCAAAGGCCCAGGTGCCCAGGGCAGCCCGTGACCAGCCACGTCCCTCCCGGCCCACTGTCCAGGCTGCCTCTCACATGGAGCTGCTTCAGGCTCTGAAGGTGGTCTCCTCCCACGGCCTCAGAGCTCGGGGTCTGGGCGCACATGACCCCAGTGAAGCCACCAGACCCTGATGACAGCTGGAGCCGGCCTAGAAAGCCTCAGGCTGGGAATGTTCCGGAAGGCCTACTTCTCCCAGGGTCACCGTCTCACATCCTAAACCAAAGACGACGCAAACTGGCCCTGCTTTCAAAATGCACGTGCCCAGGCCTCACTGGGGGGCTCTGATCCTGTGGGTCTATGAGAGTTGGGGTCCCTGCTTCTCATCACCCTAAACACACCCTGAGCCTGAACACACGGCCGAGGCCGGCCTTCCTTTTCCAGGGTTTGCTTGTTTTTATTTCAAATGCTTTCGTGGCAGTTGACGCCACTTTTCAGGGATCACTTGTAACTGATCCCCGGCTTTCTGAGGAAAGCTGCCGTGCCACCAGGCTGCGGGTGGGGGAGCGGTGGGGTTAGCTGCTGCCTTGCTGTGTGTTTCCGCCACAGTTTAAAACAAAGTCTCTTCCTGGAGGCTGAGCAGCCCCCTCACTGAACGGACACGTCAGAAAGGCCGAGGCAGCAGATGAATGGATTTCACGCAAATCTTAGGGATAAGAAACAGCAGCAGATGTGGTACCACTGCAGGGGGCCAGGGCCCTCGCCTGCACCCGGGTGTGGGCGACAGTGTGTGTCGCACAGGAGTGCTGTCTCCCAGTCCCTCGGGAAACCGCAAATGATCCAAGTACTGGTCACAGTTAACAACCCAAGAACGACCCCCCACGTCACAACAGTGACCACACCAGAGAAAGGGCTCTCGGGATAAGCCACCGGTTGTCACGTGCTCAGGCATGTGCCTGGCGTGTCCTGGGGGAAGGAGTCTGTGTTGCTGATGGGTTCCTCCCATCTGTGTTGTTGTCACCCCTCCCAGTGAGGGTTTTTGGAGGGGGCCTGGGGCCTCTGTACCCCAAAGCCCCCGGGGTGTGCATGGGGCCAGAAGGGAAGCCGCGTGAAGAGTGTGCACAGGGCTCAGGCGGGGAATGCCTGGCACCCCCCAAAAGGCCTACCTTGTTCTACCTGAACCCCACTTCATTGCAGACAAGCCTGAGGAGATCATTCCGGCCTCCAAGCTGCCTCGGGCCGCCGAGAACGTGGCCGTGGAGTCCAGGGTGGCCACCATCAAACAGCGGCCAACCAGCCGGTGCTTCCCCTCTGTTTCCGACCTGAACGTGAGTTGGGGGGGGCGCAGGAAGCTGGGGGGGACCTTGGCTAAGTGGGGAGTGTTCCCAGGGATGGGCCCGCAGTGCGCAGGTGGCTGGTCTTGGTGGCTGTGGCTCCTGCATCCACGTTCTGCAGACATGGGCCCAAACCCAGTGGCCATGAGGGCACCACGGCCCAGCACAGACCCGGGATGAGGATGGGATACAGACCTGGCTCAGCCGAGCCACTTGTCGCCTGGTATGACCTCAGCTTGGTCCCTGAGCCTCCCTGAGCCTCAAGGTCGTCTTCCCTGTCCCCTGGTGAAGTCATGTGTGTGAAGAGCCCTGTGGGCCCCTGGGGTTCTGTCCAGATGGAAGAGGCCACCCTTGTCCAGTGCAGGCGGCCTCCACACGAACATTGAGCCTGACAGAAGGTGGCCTCGCTGAGAGCCCAGGTGACCGTCAGCCTCAGGCCTCCACTGCGTACACCAGGCTGCCTGGCTCAGCCCGGCTGTGACCACTTTCCTTGGGTGGTCTTGAGTGAGCAGAGAGTGAAGAAGGGTGGGGGGCCGAGCTGCATCCCTCCACAACTCTTGGTGTCTGGGGCCGGTCCCCCGTGTGTAGAACTGACTTTACACCAGTAGCTGTGGAGTCGACTCTGCCCCCCCGGTCCCCCGTGTGTATGTGTTGACCCCTGGTCCCCCGTGTGTGTGTGCTGACCCCTGGTCCCCCGTGTGTGTGTGTTGACCCCTGGTCCCCCGAGTATGTCACAGGGGAACTGCCCCTACGGGATCATCATGGGCTGACTTTTCAGTAGATTGCCAGTCCTTTCTTTGGAGGCACCTCTGGGTGGCCACCAACCTTTCCGTTGGCGGCCAGGCACGTTCATCAGCAGCAGCACCAAGGACTCGGTTCTTTGACCCAGTAACTTCCCTGGAATCAACTTCAAGTTGATTCAGTGTTTCATCTCGTCTTACAGCCTGTAATCGCTCTAAAAGCCACACATTTGATGTTAGTTTTGTGTAATATATGTGAAAACCCACACACGTGTCAACAATGACAAGGAAAGCACTTGCCCTTGTGCCCCTGCAGTCCCCTCTTCCAGGGGTCCCCTCCCTCTAACGTACCCCTACCCCTGCCTCCTGCCCTGTCCCTGGTCTGGTGGGCCCCTCCCTCTAGCCCCCACACACCCCCATCCCTGCCTCCTACCCCGTCCCCGGCTCTGACCCCAGCCCTGCTATGGACCTCACCTTGTCCCAAATCCTCTCTGACCCTGCACAGCCTATGTGGGCCCCCCCCGCCCCCGAGACCAGGGCCCCAAGTGGCTTCTGCAGTCCCCAGCTTGTGGAGGAGAGACACAGAGCGACAGGTGTCAGGGCCTGGTGAGGTGGCGTCTCGGCCCCGAGATGTCGGGGCAGCACACTCATCACAGAGCTTGCTGGACAGCTCACCTTTGCACTGAGCGTCAGTGTCCGCTCGTTCTCTGAGCTGCCCTCCCCGAGCGTGAACAGGGGTGGCCAGCCAGCCGTCTTCACTCCCCAACAGGGACCCAGCGGCTCTGAGCAATGAAGGGATCGGAGCTGCCACCAGTGGGCTTGTTTCCAAGGTGGCGGCTCCTCGCGCTGACCTTCCAGGGGAGGAGGGGCGGCAGTGGTGGCCTACTGTGAGCCCCCGCCCCTGAACTCAACCTTCGTGCCCCGACCTCCTGGCTCCCTCACTGCCCGTGGACCACGCGTCCCTCATCAGTACCTCACCCGCCACTCACCCGGCTGGGGCCGCCATCCCCCTCTCCCAGGGACTCCAACTTGAGGGCTGAGCCTAGGTCCTACCGTGCGTGGGGGCCGGGTTCTAGGCCCACGTCGGACCCCACCCGTCCACTGCCCTGTTCCCTCCTGCAAAACGTCAGTCCTGGGCCCGGTCAGACACCCGAGTGCCCAGCTCACCCGATGAATGTGTCCGGCTACGGCTCCCCAACGTGCTTGGGTTCATCAGGGCCGGAGGCTGGTGCTGAGGGGGCCAGGGACGGCAGGGGCGGAGCTCTGGGTTCCCCTCGGTCTCAGACGGAGGCCGGGGACGGGCCCGGAGCCGCAGTACGGTGGGTCTCCCCTGGCGCCTCGCCTCACACGAGCTCTGATTGCAGTCGGTGTATGAACGCCAAGGGATCGCAGTGATGACGCCCACGGTGCCCGGGAGCCCAAAGGGCCCGTTCCTGGGCATCCCTCGAGGTACGATGCGAAGGCAGAAATCCATAGGTAAGAAGCAGCCTGCAGCAGAGGCGTCGCCCCACAGCTTTTGATTGTAGCTCTCAAAGCCCTTTGGGAGGGCCGCCCCAGGGTCCACGCCATGGCTGCCCGGCTTTCTGCCTGGCAGCTGCCCCAGCAGGCACTCCCACCAGAGGGCGGCCCCTGGCCTCACCCACCAGGCAGCCATCTGAATGCCCGAGTGGCTTAACACGTCCCTCCCACAGTGGGTGCCAAATCCAGGTGGTTTTCCAGTCTGGCCAGCTATCTGTGGCAGTATCAGCGGGAAGTGGGATGGGGTCCCCTGTGTGGGGAAGGAGGGGGGGCAGATGGGGGCAGGCCGGGCCAGCTCCCCCACCACACCCTGGGCAGGCCACTCAGCGCTCACCTGGCCCATAGGGACGCGCAGCCGCCACGTTTTGTAGCATGAGCTCCAGGGGCATCTGTCGGAGGATGGGCGGTCAGGTATCGAATGCTGACGTAACAGCACTGCCGAACATGTCCTGGCCCAGCCTTCCTGCTGACGTCACAGTGACTCCTGTCAACTAGGGCCCCTCAGAGCGTGGCTTCGTGAGAGTCCAGCCTTGCTTTCCCTTGTAAATTCCCACCAGTGCACGGCCACGGTGGTGGGACACAGGCGGGGGGCGGGCCACCTGGAGAGTACCCACAGGGCAGAGCACCTGTGGTGGCTGCTTGCACCCTGGGCCCCCCCCAGGGGACGCGGCTCCGTGGGCTGGACCCACTTTGCGACGCCGCAGGCCTGGCGCGTGGCTGGTTGGTTTCAGGAGGGTGGCAGCGTGCAGTAACCAATGAGCTGTTGGCGCTGTGGCGTCCGCGGTGACCCAGCGAGCGAGCTCAGGGCCCGGGCAGTACTGGTGGCGTATAAACTGAGTGCGTGACTGGCTTGCGACCTGGTTAATAATGGCTCATTTCCTCCTGTCAGACAGCAGAATCTTTCTAACAGGTTAGTGATCCTTGCGGTCCGGAATCCGTACCTGAATGTGACCCACGCTACTCCATAAGGCGTATTCTTAAACCATGCCTCCTGGGTGGCCAGTGAGGCGAGCCTTTCAGAACCAAATTACCCCTCGAGGGGGCTGTGGATTTTGGAATACCCTTATGGAACAGTGATTCCCGGCGGGACGAGTTCCTGTAGTGTGTCACTGGACTTTCCTGGATGTGAAGTGACACGTTTTGCTCCCCCAGGACCCCTGCATGCCCATGGCATTAGACACTAGGCACTTTGTGTCTGTCTGTCTTCCTGCACACCTTCCCCCAGACCGCACCCTGTGGACGTTTTCATGTCTGTGTTAAAGTCACACACGCCAACACACACAGAACTCAGGCAGGCGGCCGGTGGGCTCCTGCCAAGCCTAGGAGCCTGGAACCCCCGCCACTGTGGGAACATGCAACACCCAAGTGGTTCACTTGGGTCAGCTCCACTGGGCTTGCGGCAAGTCTGCAGGACCCAGCCCTGGTGCCCATCAGGTGGGCTGAAACAGCCTGCACATCAGCCCCGAGTTTAGGTGGGCCAGAGCTAGAGCACCCCAATGACCCTGAGGGCCCATGCAGGCCTTGAGAACTCTGCCCACTTGGGTTGGCAGCTTTGCTTATAGAGAAGGTCTGGTTCCGTCCCCTCCAGGACGTGTTAGAGCCACAATGCCCTTTATCAGCGCTCCCCCCAACCCATAGCCGTCCTTCAGAGCCTCCCCGCCAAGGACGCCTAGCACCATCTCCCAAGTTAAGTTGAGCAGCAGAACGGGTTCCTGTGCTCTGGGAGACCACCAGGGGAGGCCAGCACCTGCTTGCAGCATGATCGGGCAGGCGCCCTGCTCATGGGTGGGAGCAATGGCCACCCTCTGAGCCCTCAGTGGCTCTACACGTCCCATGTCACACAGGTACATGCAGGTGTCACCTGGACCCTTGCACCCTCAGCCCTCACTTCAGATGGGTAGTGGACAATCGCCCCAGGCCTCAAGACCCAAGGCCAGGGCCCAATGCCCCCGTCCCAGGGTCTGGGCCAAGCCTCCTGACCCAGCCCAGGCCCCGTGCTGACCCGCAGGCACACAGATACAGGGGTCACTCACACGGGTCTAGACACAGGCTACACACCCCCCACCGCACCCTGTGACTTCCTCCTGCTCTGTTCTCTTGCCTTGAACAAGCCGGGAACTCACCCCACTCCCCTGGCATCGTGGCTTGTGTTGTGTTTGTGTAGTGTCGGTTGTCTCGGTGTGCGTGTGGACGTGGCAGAAGCACACTCCCCGGACCGACGCAGCTGGAGTCGCCGTGGCGGCCACGGCTGAGGACTAACCCTCGTGTCTGTCTGCAGGCATAACGGAGGAAGAGCGGCAGTTTCTGACTCCTCCGATGCTCAAGTTCACCAGAAGCCTGTCCATGCCCGACACCTCCGAGGACATCCCCCCTCCGCCCCAGTCTGTGCCCCCGACTCCGCCGCCACCCTCCCCCACCGTGTACAACTGCCCCCAGTCCCCGACGCCTCGCGTCTACGGGACCATCAAGCCCGCGTTTAACCAGAATCCCGCTGCCAAAGTCTCGGCAGCCGCCCGGTCCGACACGGTGGCCACCACGATGCGCGAGAAGGGTGTGTACTACAGGCGAGAGCTCGACCGGTACTCGCTGGACTCGGAAGATCTGTACGGCCGCAACGCCGCCACCCCGGCCAGCTTCCGCAGCAGGCGGGGCCAGATGCCCGAGAACCCGTACTCGGAGGTGGGCAAGGTGGCCAGCAGGGCCGTGTACGTGCCGGCCAAGCCCGCGCGGCGCAAGGGCATGCTGGTGAAGCAGTGCAACGTGGAAGGCAGCCCTGAGAAGACCTGCTCCATCCCCATCCCCACCATCATCGTCAAGGAGCCCTCCACCAGCAGCAGCGGCAAGAGCAGTCAGGGCAGCAGCGTGGAGGCGGACCCGCAGGCCCCCGACCAGCCCGGGCAGCTGCGGCCAGACGACGGCCTGGGCACCAGCAGCCCCTTCGCTGCCGCCATTGCCGGGGCTGTGCGTGACCGGGAGAAGAGGCTGGAGGCCCGGAGGAACTCCCCGGCCTTCCTCTCCACGGACCTGGGGGATGAAGACGTGGGGCTGGGGCCGCCCGCGCCCAGGACGCAGGCCTCCACGCTCCCCGAGGAGGAGGGCGAGTTTGGCAGCGAGGATGTCACCGAGCAGCTAGTGCTGCCCACGCCGGGGGCAGCGCCCAGGGAGCCCGAGAACCACTTTGCTGGTGGGGGCGAGGCTGGCACTCCGGGCGAGGCCGGGAAGGCGCCGAATCCCATGTCCAAAGTGAAGGGGCCCGAGAGCAGCCCCGAGAACTACGTCCACCCGCTCACAGGGAGGCTGCTCGACCCCAGCTCCCCGCTGGCCCTGGCGCTGTCCGCCAGGGACCGGGCTATGAAGGAGTCGCAGCAGGGGCCCAAGGGGGAGGCCCCGAAAGCCGACCTCAACAAGCCCCTCTACATCGACACCAAAATGCGGCCCAGCATGGAGCCAGCCTTCCCGCCAGTCAGCCGGCAGAGTGCCCGGGGCCCACTGCGGCGGCAGGAGACAGAGAACAAGTACGAGACCGAGGCGGGCCGAGCGCGGAAGGGCGATGACAAGAACATGCTCATCACCATTGTGGACACGGCCCAGCAGAGGTCGGCCGGGCTGCTCATGGTCCACACCGCTGATGCTGCCAAGCCTGGCGGCTCCCTGGAGGAGGAGGACCAGACAGCGCAGGCGGAGATGCAGCCAGACCACTTGCCGTCCGAGCTGCCAAGCATCTCAGAGACTGAAGGTGCTTTACAGCTCTCCGCTGCCCCCGAGCCGGCCGCCACGCCCGGCAGAGCCATGGTGGCGGCCGGCTCCGTGGAGGAAGCGGTTGTCTTGCCATTCCGAATCCCTCCCCCACCTCTGGCCTCCGTGGACTTGGACGAAGATTTTCTTTTTACAGAGCCACTGCCTCCCCCCCTGGAATTCGCCAACAGTTTTGATATTCCCGATGACCGCGCCACTCCCGTCCCCGCGCTGGCTGACTTGGCCAAGCAGAAGAGACTTGATGCCCCTCAGTCCCCACCCTTGAACTCCAGCCAACCGGCCAACTCGGTGGGCACCAAGAAGCCAGCTGGTCTTGCAAACTGCCTGCCCACCTCATTCCTGCCACCTCCCGAGAGCTTCGACGCCATCACGGACTCGGGCATCGAGGAGGTGGACAGCCGGAGCAGCAGCGACCACCACCTGGAGACCACCAGCACCGTGTCCACCGTGTCTAGCATCTCCACCTTGTCCTCAGAGGGTGGTGAGAACTCAGACACCTGCACAGTCTACGCAGATGGACAGGTGTTTGTGGTCGACAAACCCCCGGTGCCGCCCAAGCCTAAGGTGAAGCCCATCATCTACAAGGGCAACGCGCTGTGCCAGGACGCGCTGGTGGAGGAGGATGTGGACAGCCTCGTCATCCCCCCGCCGGCCCCGCCCCCGCCGCCCGGCGGGGTCCAGCCCGGCACGGCCAAGGTCGTGCAGCCGAGGACCTCCAAACTGTGGGGCGAGGTCACGGAGATCAAGAGCCCCATCCTCTCAGGCCCAAAGGCAAACGTCATCAGTGAATTGAACTCGATCCTGCAGCAAATGAACCGAGAGAAATCGGCCAAGCCGGGGGAAGGACTGGATTCAGTGCTGGGAAGCAAACCCGCTGGCCTCTCTGCAAGGTAAGTGCGCGATGGCGTGCACGCTACCTGCTCCGTACGCATGCCTGCCTGTCTCCTCTGTGACCTGGAAGTACCTACGGCAGCAACCGAGGCAGACACGAAGACAAGCCTGTGAGACCCTCTGTGTGGGCTGCACCCATCCGTGGCACGCTGGGACCCAGCGCAGCAGAGTAGAGATGGACGCTTCATGGTACAGACACGTCACTAAACGTGTCCACATGGAGCCGCTTCTGCCCTAGCTTCCGAGGGGCAGCTGTGCTGTCTCCTTCCATACCCTCCAGGTCTGGGCAAGGACCACTTCAAGGGCCATTTCACCACTTCACTAGTGTGTCGCAGTAGGATCATGCTTCCTGGGGTTTTCAGTGGCTGTTGTCTTGTAGATGGCCAGGTCTGTCTTCTGAGGCACCTCAGGTGGCATCAGATTGACAACCTTCTGGTTAGCAGCCGAGCTTGCCGTTTGGGCCACCCAGGGAGATCCTTGATAAAGCCCCAACTGAGCTTTGTGTTGGCTGCAAAAAAGTGGGCAGGGGGTGGGGAGGGTGGGGAAGTGGGCAGTGTGGGCGTGAGCATGTGGGTGGAGGCGGCGTGCGTGCGTGTCCCCCACCATCAGCCAGCACTCCATGGTTTAAGGCACAGAACGTACTGGCCTGTGGCTTCACTAGTGAATCCAGCTAGAACCGGGTTCCTCCCACTGGCTGGCCCACCCATCCCAGGAGGGGGCCTCACAGAGGAAACCCATCCAGTTGTCCCCAAGTCGGCCATGCACACTATCACGCAGGGCTCAAGGCCTACTGGAAGTGGGGCCAGAATGGGAGTCACCTGCCTGAGGCACGCTGCGCTCTGGAACAGTCCACACAGTGTTGGAGCACACAGGTTGTCTCTGCAGCTGCCTCCCAGAAGGGCCTGTCTGAGGCACCCCCACTTTACAACAGTCCACACAAGGGCCTTCTGATGGCTTCTGCGTGATCCTCACTGCAGCCCCGTGTCCTCCCTCCTCACTCGCTGCTCTTGGCTTTTCCATGTCACGTGGGGCATTGTGCTGGTCCCTGTGCGGCTGTGTGCGTCTTGTCCCGCCTCCCCACTGATGTTGCGTTCACCTTTCATCATTTTGACCAGTGATGTCTTTCTTTACTCTCTTGCTGCGCAAGCAATTGAGCCCAACACCTCATCCGTTCATCAGTACCCACATGCCACGGTGGGGTCTTGAGATGTGACCCTGAGCCACGGTGCCTCAGTTATCTTTCAGTGTGGCTCCCAGTCCTCTCCAGAGTGGTAGTGACGGTATGATGGACTGGCCTGGGTCGAACAGTACAGCAGCACCTACTGCTTGTCATGGTGTTCAGAGAGCACCACCCACTGAGGAGCAATCCTTCCAAGATCCCACTATTTCTGGCAGACACACATTGGGACATACCTATGGATATGATACATTCTAAAAGTCATCTGCCCTCAAATCGATTCCAACTCAGGGAGGAGGCTCCAGGAAATCCCCAGAGCCTGCCCGTCAGTCCCCAGGGCACTGTGTGATCACAGGGTAGTTTGGTGATTCCCTTTGCTCTGGTGCAGCTGTGACAGTGGAGATGGTTCATCTTCACGGTGCACTTCTTACAGAACATGCTCACACAGGTGAATGGTCCCTGTTAGCACCGTTTTTGACAAGGAGAAACCGAGACCCCACTGTGGCTTGTCCACGTGCATGGCCAGTAGAAGAGGGACCAGGGCCCGGGTTCAGGTCTTTAGAACCGTACTTCGGCGTTCTGTCCCCCTGCCAACAATGCTACAGCGAGAAGCACGCAGAAGCCATCCGAGCGAGAGACAACTTCAGTGTTCACGGCCAGTGGATGCAGGGACCTTGTTCGGGTGGCCTCCTCTCTCATCAGCATCTGAGTTGTCATATTCTTCATAGCTGTTGAGTGTGACCCCACACACGGAATGAAGTGCCGCCCAGCCCTGACCATGGCCATGACAGCTCCGGTCACTCCCAGCTTGGATGCCTTCCTGGGGCGCTCACACGAGGGCAGGAATCCGCACTGCAGGTGTTGCTAGGGTTTTCCTGCCCAGCGTTGCTGCAGCTGGACCCTGGGAAGGCAGGGCCTCAGAGCCAGCGTCCGGCAGCATGCTGCTGGACTGCCGGTGGGGAGCAGCAGTGTGGTTCCCTCTGAACTGCTCTGTGATGTGTAACTTAGTTCACTTCCACTAAGAACATTCAACATTCATCCTGTGTCCAACAGATGCCAGCATCGTGCTCTCCGGCACTGTGGGGCAGGGTCCGCAGTGATTCCCGTGGTCTGAGGAGGCAGAAGGGAAGCAAGATGGATGAGGACGTGGAGCAGTAGTTACAGAGGGGCTCAAGCCCGAGCGGCCTCAGGCTTCCACTCCTGGCCTCTCGCTGGGCTCAGGGATCCCCTGGAAGAAAGAGCCAGGTCTCACTCAGTGTCTGCAAGGCTGCCCTCAGGCCTCTGGAACACCCCTGCAGTGGAGCTAAAAGCCAGGCTCTTAGGTGACCTAAAGGTAGTGACAAGAAAGGACAATCACATGGCAGCCACCAGCACCGCTGAGCTTCTGGGGGCCATGCCAGGGTCTTGCCTGCTCGAAGCCAAGGACACACTCCAGCCTGGCTAGAAGTAGGACTGCTCCTAGGCCCAAGGTCAAGGGGAAGGTTGGTCACTTGAGGCTCTCATCACCTTTGTTTCTTTGATCTAACAAAGTCCGGCAGATAGAAGTCCTCCGGGAGCGTCAGCCGCAGCCACCAAGCTGCAGGCAGGTCCTGCACAGAGTCGACCAGGCGGCGTGTGGCCGCACTGGCTCTGGCGCTGGTGCTGTGAGCCCTGTAGCAGTCAGCTCTGCTGCAACTGCTTTTCTGTCTCCCGTGCAGACGGACAGCCTGGCAGATTCGGCCCCTGCCCTGCCGGCTCTCCTTCCCTCTGGGTGCCTTCTCATCCTGGGATTAGACACCGTGATGTCCTCTCACCCGGGAGCATCTCACTGCCACTTTCAAATGCCTCTCAAAACTGAGAGCTGTGGAGGTCCGGGACACGACGAGGCATGGCAGTGGGTGCGGGAATTGCAGCCGAGGAAGCAAACGGAGCTCTGCTGGCGCCCTGTCCCAGGTGACAACAAGCACCGTATGCAGATCCCATCTCCGTGGAAACCAGTCCTGATGGTGCAGGAAAGGGCCAGGCTTAGAGCTGCACAGCGACTGTGCACACGCTAGGTGGCCAGAAGCCCCCGGCCAGCCTCACCCCTCTCACAGTGCTTCTCACTTGGGTTCTTCACTGACAACCCAAGGTCGGCCATTCTCTTCCCTTCTTGGTAAGGGCCCTGGCTGAGACCAGTGGCAACAGCAGGAAATTACACGCGCCTTCCCTCCCTTGCTGGGTCCGTGCAGTTCAGTGTGAGCCATAGGTGCGTTTTTGCTGCTAGCCCTGCTCCCCGAAATCACGGAGGGCTTGGGATCCACAGGTGCCTGGATTATGTCAGTGGAAGGATGCCAGTTGAGTCACTTCCTTCAGTAAACAAGTTGACATTGCTGGCAGCTCCCCGGGCCTGCTCTGGAAACATCACCCCTAATATTGCTGGCAGCCCCTCTGGGTAGAGTGCTCCTGCAGCCGCTGGGCGTGGTAATCCTAGGAAGTGATCGCGTCTTTGAAGGCCGTCTCAAAACCAGATCAAAGCAATGGGAGCTGGGGCTCGACGGAGCGTCAGCTGGTTCTTAGCAGAAGCCCAGCTCAGGGGCCACTAACCCTTGGCTCCTTACCTGGCCAGTACCTGGGTCTGGAGCCCAGCCAGGAGCCTGGCACTGTGCAGGCCCAGCCCGCCTGGCTGGTACTGTGGCCTGGACCCAGCCCGCATGGCCAGTACCGTGGCCTGAACCTAGCTGGGAGCCTCGAGCAGACAGGAGCCTGATGCTTCCAAGAGGATGAACCTGTCTGTGGCGTGGCCAGCACCGTACCGCACGCTACGAGCCACACAGGAGCGGTCAGTGCTGCCGGACGGCTCTCGTCTGCCCTGTGCACATGCTTTCCTGAGTTCTCTGTCACCTACAGCACAAGGTTTCCACGTTGGAGGTGCTGTGTGGGGTTAGTTTTGTGGACCAAGGAGGTTTTGCTCAGTCATGTCCCTGGGAGCAGCCTCCCCTCGTACGGGCTGCTGGGGGCCCACCACAACCCAGCCCCTGACCTCCAGGGCCCCGAGTGAGCGGAGATCTGAGCTGCTGCTTTATACGGAGAGTAACAAGAAGAACACACAATCAAGCCAGGGAGGTGGAACTTAGTAGTTCATGGGACAGACAGTCCCCGTCATGTCTTAGGCCCCTCGTCCCAGCTAGTCCCGGGATTTACTGAATGACGTTCACAGTCCCGCCCTGGTAGAGGAACAGAGAACAGATAACAAGGGTGACAAGGGCTAAAGAGAGTGAGAACGTGCCAGCAGGGTGGAGAGGTGACGTGCAGGGTGGTACACGGGCACTGTGTAAGCAGTGCCACCTGAACAGCCTGAAGGGCCAAAAAGAGCCAGCTGTGCAGGAGAGGACCATCGCAGCCAAGTGAGGGGCGGGCAGGGCCGGGCGTGATGGCCGCATCCAGATGGTGGCAGCCGCAGGAGGGCTTCGGCAAAGGCGTGGTGGCATCACTGCATGACAATGACCTAGCTGCTGTCTGGCCACACAGCCTGCAGTGACCTCAGGGGAGGCCATCAGCAGGCCACAGCGGCCTCTGGACTTGGGACCAGGGGCCTGCACTCTGGAGACAAGGGGGCAGATTTGAGGGACAAGCCCCTCAGGCACCAGGAAAGCTTAGCACGCCCTGTTGAGCCCTGCGCTTTGACCCAGACCCAACACACAGGCCCTGACCCAGGAAGGATGGCCTGTTGATCTTTTTATCAGACTCCCAGGGAGGGTATTTTCACTTTCTATGTTGGGAGGCACAGAGGAGCCAGCATCTGCCTGTGGGGCCCCCACGGCCTAAGCTGGGTCCCCAGGGTCCGTGTCGGAACCCCCAGCT